TATAAATAATTTTTGTTTTGCTGAAATTTGTGTGTATCATCTTTATGTCTAGCATCATTATATCTGCGCATGCACACCGATATATATACTGTTTAGAGCTTAACAATTTCCTTCACTTTCACAAATTTAAATCGATTTCTTTTCAATAACTTTCGCTTTCCGCGAACAACTGCTCAAGTGATTTATGTTTACACTGTTAATGACTGCTCATTAATAAGGTTTGTCATATTATATTGACAATGAGAATGTACAAGTTTTATGCTCAAGTATATATTTTGTATTTTCTTAAATTAAAATATATATATTTAAATATATATATAATTTTGTATATTTTAAAGCACTTGTCCGCTGAAGTTTTAATAAAGACCTAAATTCTATTTTCTTATCTTATATTTATTTATTTGTATAAAGTCTTCTCTCTTTCTGTTTAATATCATAAATGCTAGCTTTTGGAAGTAAAGCAAATCGTCTACAAATATAAAAACATATTTAAAAGCATTATAACATAGCAAAATATAAAGTGGCAGATACAATTATTTAAGTAGTACCCTGCAGCGTTTTTCGCATTTTATATTTTTCTGCCATTGTTTTCGTTAGAGATGCAGTTGTATTTATTCTCTTACCTTGTCACTTACACTCCATTTTTTTCACTGCAGTCGTTGTTGTAGTTTTTCACTTGATTTACTTGATTGCAGCAATGTTTTTTATTAGATGGAAAATTTAATTTCATTGTGTTTTGCCTTTCCTGTGACACATTTTGTTGCTATATTTTACTGGCCGCCTTCTTTTATTCTTTTCTGTACCCATTTTGTTTGTAATTTGCACACAATAAGCTCTTATATATATATATTTATTTTCTTAATTTTTTTTTGTGGCGTTAGGTGTATTTATTTAATGAGCTTTATTCTTTTGGGGAGAAGTCGTTTCCGTTTATTTGTATTGCTTCTGTTCTTGTTTTGCTAATTGAGCACAACATTTTGCCATTAATCAAATTACATTTTTTGTACTGTTTTGTGGCCGTTTAACAAGGACCTCCTTGAGCGCCCATTCCTGTTGCGTCCCTCATAATTTGTGTGGGGAATCCTGCTGACGCGTCGTCCGGGCACTTAATTAAAAGATTATTTCTGAAAACTTTGGGGTACAGAACTTAACGTCAACATCTAACAGCTAACAGAGCTGAGCGCTCTATTTGCCCAAAAACTTTAAACAAATAAAAGGAAATTGCAAAAGTAAACACACTTAGACACAAACACACACTTCCCCACACACACACACTTCCACACACACACACGCAAAATACTTGTTAAAAACAGAGTGTGTGTCTGTGCATGTGTGTGCGTGAGTGTAGACAAACTGAAAAATTGCTGAACTTTAATTTATATGCAGTCAACAAGGTTGCACTTTAAACCCGACACTAAGCCTTCCACTTGATTATTCTACACTCTGCTACACAGTTCAGTATTTCATATAGTACGTGTTACGCATACGTTTTAACTTTTATCCACTTGACAAATGGTAGCTGCAAAAAAAGTTGCATCATCGGAAAGTTGAATAGGTAAGGATGTTCCCCCTCCTTTGAGGCATATGAAAATCAACGAGGGCAGCTTTAATTGTATATATATATATTTTAAAAATTATTTTTCATTATTCGCCATTATTTTTATTAATTAAAAGCGTTTATTAATCATCCGTTGTCATAAATCACATTTTTATTGTTTTTTTTTTTAATATGCTGTTTTACAAATACCTCTCAATAATTATGTTTATTAATTAAATAGCCCTCGTAAATGTCACTAGTGTGCTGCTTTTGTAAATATGTTTTGTCACCTTCTGTTAATTTTGCCCCCCCGTTGTGGGAAAAGTTTTTATTTTGCAGATTTTTTAATTTTAATTTAATGTCTGGCGGCGCTTGCAAACAAATTTACAAAGTTTAATTTCACGTTAATAATGTTATTTTGATGTTGTTGTTTTGTAAATTACTTTCTTTGCTCTTATGACAAAGTTAGATGGCGGACGTTGCACCGACACATATGTATGCACACACACACACACACACACTTATTAAGTATATTTGTATTTATATTTATTATGAAATTGTTTGAAAAAATAGGAAAAAAATTGTTGGACGCTTTTGGTGGTTTTTGTGACTCGTTGAAAGCGAACTTTGTGCTCAAAGGCAAATGCACACACTTATATACCTGGTTGTGTGTGTGTGTGTGTGTCTTCTGTGTATGTGTATGTGTTGGGTCTAGAGATTTAATTGGTTTTTGAAAAAGTTCAACAAGCCATGCTAATTAGTTGCATGCAGCTTTGCCTTTGAATGTGCCACATACTTAACTCGACAGGTGGTGCGTAGCAGTGCTGCTGGTGGTGGTAATTGTGCTACCCCCGCCCCCACTCCTCCCCACAACCATATGAAGTTCGGCTAGTTACTTAATCCACACCAACTTTTCAATCGTACCAAGCGGAGTACTTTTTCTATTTCTATTTGTTTTTTTTGTTTTTTTTTTTGTCAAAATAAATACGTACACAAAAACTTTTTGCATACCGAGTGCTTTGATGTATTTCCGACATAACGAACGTACAAGTGTATATTTTGTGGTTTGTTTATGCTGTGTTTGTGTGTGTTTGCAACATGATCAAAAGTTGTTTGTTTTGCTTGCTACTTCACATAAATAAATTTGTGTGTCCTTTAGCTGGTGACTCGGTTGGCTTAAGTAATCGCAGCGTGTGACACAATAAATGCCAGCAAAAACTCTTGCAACGTTGCACATGTGTCTCGGGGGGTGTTTGTAAATGAGGGGGGCTTCGTGGTTTTATATTGCATATGTGTTTGTGTATTTGGTATTGTGTAATGTGCAAAAAATTGAGCCCAAGCTACCATCTCAACTGCAAAATAATTAAATTCCAGGGCCAAGTTTATGCTGAATACTTTTGCTTTGCAAATGTCTTAGCAATTTCATGCAAAATGATGGGCTGTGTGTGTTAGTATGTTTAAAGTGTGTGTATTAGTTTGTGTGTGAAGCAGAAAGTTATGCCCTTAGCTTATTGCTGTCTTCCCGCTGAGCATTATGTTGTTGATAGTTGGCTTCATCTGTTGTTGTTTGCTTTCTTACGGCTTGTCAGTGGCTCAGCGGCACAGTGGTGCAGTGCTGGGAATTATGTCTTTTGGATAGTTTTACTTATTGCTGTTGTTGCCTCCGTTGTCATTGGGTTTGTTGCAGTTTTTCTTTCACGAACCGGAAGGAAATGAGCAAAAATGACAAAGCTAACGGATGCGCACAAAACACAATGCACACAAACAAAACCCAATGCACACACACACACACACACACACACAGATATGGGGAAAGCATGATGTCCTGCGTGTATGCCCAATGCCCTTGCAAAGGATATGTGTGCGGAAAGTACAACAATTTTACATGTATTTGATTTATGTTTGCTCTTAGCTCTCAAGCAACACCACTGCGACCTGTCACACTGCCTGCCTCTCTTTATGTGTCTGTGTGTGTGCGTCTGTACGTGTGTGTGCGTGTGTGTGTATGTGTGCCGATATATATGTACTTTCGTGCATATTTCAGCTGTTTTGCAGAGTGAATGTCCTGGCAAGTAGCAGTCAAATCGTAGCCTACATTTCCGCTGTTGTTTTAGCAAGCCAAATGTTTTTTCCCATACCTTGAACTCATTGAAAATGGGTAAAGAGGGTGAAATAGTTTCCAGCAAAAGGATGGAACAGGCAAAAGGAAGAATCTCCAATCCCATAAGGTATATAGATTGTTGATCAGCAGAAATAGCAGTCAATATGAATCAAAGGAAATCAGAGAGAATCAGATTTAGATACTTCAAAATTTGGAATATAAGTTTTCGTATACCCCGCACAGATAACTGCCTCAGCGTCACGCATATCGATAAATATCTATATATTGAGTATATATCGACAATAAATGACACAACTTTCGAGCACGTATTCTCATATTGATCTCATAACTATTTCATTCTCTTTAAATGGAAGTTTGGCAATAGAACCAGAATATATATAACAGCTAGCTTCGGGATATCTCGTTGTCTAGCTCACTCGACTACAGCATCCATATCTTCTTATTTTTTCTTGGTTGTTGTGTAACCTTCTTTAGTTGTCTTTCAATTCGCCTGGGAATACGACAATTCAAAAGTTTCTATTTGAAAATTTTTGCCAGAAAAACTATGAGTTTCTCAGAGTTGCTTTTGATTGTGTGAAATATGCGGAGCAGCATACAGAATGCGACACTTAATGTAGTTAGTGCCTGTCAACAGCAAAAATCCATAAATGTATATAAAATTAAACTAACAATCAGTGACAGCGATAGAGAGAGAGAGAGAGAGAGAGAGAGAGAAAGCAATATTAGCAGCTAGTTGGGTTGAGGAAATTTATATTTTGGCCTATTTGCCTTTGCATTGTTTTGTTTTGTTTTGTTTTGTTTTGGCTTCGTTTTGAAATTTCATTTATCAGCGCTATAAAACGTTACTTAGCATGGTACTCCACCACCCTCACCCTTTCCTACAGAAAAAAAACCCTAGTTGATTCTTAACTGGGCCCATTGTCGGTCGTCCCGTGTCAACAGGCAATTATATTAAAAGCCTGGGACTGAGTTTCAAAGGGGCGCTCAACTGCCGGTTATCCAGGTATATATATATATGGGGCCACATTGCTGTTTGGTCTACCGGTCTACAATTACGAGTACAACTATGCTAAATGCTTGGCGACTGAAAAATGTGGCTTTAAATTGCATGAAATCATCGCCGCATAGCGCAAGTAATGAAATTAGCGATAGGACTTGCCCCCGATGCGTGTCTCCGACTATCGAGGACAATCAGCATAATAAAAAACGTCAGCGAGTTAACCTTTTTTTTTGTAGTTGTTTAAGGCTAACCCGAGAAACTGTGTTAATATATGTTTTCTGTTTTTTTTTTGGGGTCGCTAGAGATTTGCTTATCGTGTCAACGACAACACAATTCTCAGTATGAGTTTTCGTACATTCAATTGGTCCCTTTTAGTTTTCTCCGGGGTAAGTCGGGGCAAATACCTCTCTCTCTCTCTCTCAATCCAATTAGTGTGTTCGAGCAGATTTTGGAATTGGTTGCCCTATACTGCCTTGTTTGCCTGCTCTACTCGCATTGTGTGCTGGGCGGCGAATATGGCATATCTGTCTGGGCCTATACATATTTTCTGCCGGTGTTCACCGCCCAGACTCTGGTCCTGATGTTGTTTCGTATGTGCGGCCAGACCATTGGCTTGGATCCAATTGTGCGTATTTTGTGTGGCATCATCATCATTGTGAACAACAACGTCATTCTTACAACAAGTGCCAAGTGCACTTTTACAGGCAACTGTCTTCAACCTAATCAGCGGCATAATGTGCATTATCCTTGCGCTCATCCTGCTCTTTTCGATGTGGGCTCACTGCAGCAACGAGTTTGCCATATTTTTCTTTGTGTCCGGAAGTTGTGGATTGATAGCGGGCATTCTCCATTTGTGTAATGGCATCTTGTGCCTCTTTTTTATGCCGCCGGAAGAAGCGTATGTATTGCATGAATGTTGCATTTTGCATTTTGTATTTTCGAATATTCACTTCTTATATGTTATGCTAGGAATTATCTGAAACCCATCAGCAAATTGCAGAAAAAATTGCAAAACAGTCCAAAATCACGTTAATGATCAAGCAGATGATATAATTGATTTTAAACGAAATATATTTGTCTTAAATAGTTTTTGGACTGTGTATTAAATACAGTTTGAGTTTCTCACTTTTACACCTTTTCCACATTTCATTTGATTAAACTAAAGTTCCAAAGTTTGATTAAGTTCACTTTATTTACGTTTTTCATTTATTTTATTCATGAGAAACCACAAATATTTTTGAGCTGCATCAATTCGCTTGCTGCTTAACAATTTCACTTAAATATTTCAGTCGAACGAACCCTTTTGTTCCACTTTATTGAACTGTTTAGAAAGGGCGTAAACTCCTCTCAATCCCCACTCACCTCCCAACATTTTTGTATGCCATTCTGTTATTGTTATTTGTTATTGTTGGGCGTCTAGCCATAAGCAATAATCAATATTTGGTATTTCTTTGCGACCTTTGCGTGTTACTTAGTGGTTCAAATGCCAAAACCAACCAAGTTGTAGTAGTGTCGACAGCTCAGCTGAATTGAAACAGAAAAGAACAGAACTTAACTAAACTGAAATGAAGTGAAGTGAAGTGTTGTGGAAAGTTCTTATCGTATATCATTTACTCAGCTGGCAATCAATAAATTGGTTTGTGCCAATCATCGTTAGGCCCAGAGAGTCTTATGGTCTTAACGGCGAATGCGTCATAATTGTTTTGTATTTTCATTAAATTGTCAGTTGGCATTAAGGTACTTACTATGAAGTACAGTGAGCATATAAGAATTATTTCTGAATTGAAAGGCGATATGTTCAAATCACATACAGTAAAAATCCTACCAAATTTATAAAATTAATATATTCTTATATTATAAATATGATAATAATATTATAATAATAAAAGTGAAACTCTTTATAAATATTTTCTTATAATTTCATTAGAAGTTAAAAAAAAATCCATGCAATAAGAAATTGAAGAGAAAATATTTGTAGTTTAATTAAATCAGCAATTAAATCAGTCAAATTTGTTGTTCTCTTTTCAGTCATTTTTATTTTGTAAATAAACCCATTCTGCAGAATACAACATTTTTCTGTATATAAACATTTTTATTGTCAAATTTTTTATCTGTGGCCCCATTGTGGGCTGTGTGAGTGAAGAACGCGGTTTTTTTGTGTGTGCATTCTTGTTGCGTCAAGTCATCACGCTAAAAGACAGCCCTTTCAATCAATTGTGTGATTGACAATCATGCGATTCAATTCTAAAAGCTCGCATATTCATAAGCATAAAAGATTTCCTTACATGCTCTTCAACGTGCTGCTAGCTGGCAACCAAACAGACAATCGCATAGAATGACTGACAGGCTGGCACAGTGGCAGACTGGCAGACTGGCAGACTGGCAGACGCAACCATATACGTAGGTACTCACAGTGATACTCACTAATATATGCAATCAGTTTCGAGCGAATCGAATGAATGCGAATGAGTCAAATAGCACAAAACTGCAACTGGTGAATGTAAATCTGGGCCTGATGCTGCTGTTGTTGCTGATGTTGTTGCTGCTACTGTTGATGGTGCTGTCACTCAATTGCCGTTGCTGATGATGAATGCAAACAGGCAGCACATTCACTTCCTTTGCAATACAACTAGTTCATCAAGTGACTGGTTTTGATTTCAGCCATTTTTATCTATGGCATTTCTCAATTTGATGACCTGTCAGGTGATAGCATTGAAGCTCATAAATATTCGACTCTAAAGCAACAAATATATGCTAAAAGCAACATTTAAACATATATGCTAGATCCATCGTTATCTATAAGTAAATATTAATTGCATTTTCTATATATTAAATAATTCTAATTAAACGTGCACAAGTAATCGATACATATCGGTGAACATTTTTGATGTGCGTCCATCCCTAGCTGCGATATAATTGGAAAATTATCGTGTTGTGGCTTTTTGGACACTTAATTAAATACTTGTACGCTTGATTAACTGGTCAACTTCTGACTTGGGCACTTGGTCTAATTAGTGCCAGGGCAATGTCATAAATTTGATAGCAGGCACACTTGCCCCAAACCAAGCAGAAGCTGACGCAAAAGCTGAATGCTGCTCCTGAAAAGCTTGCTAGAAACATGCGTCATTTGTCAAAATGTGCGCACTGCATGCAAATGGCAACAGCAAGAGCAACAGTAGCAGCAAACAGCAACACCAGGAACAGCAACAGCAACAGCAACAGAAGCAACAACATAAGCAACATTCAGCAACAGTAGCAACAGCAATACCAGCAAACAAATGTAAAAATATTTGGCACTTAAAGTGCTGCCAGACAAATACGACAAACGTTGAAGAGTCATTTACAAGAAGTACAGCAGCAACTGCAACAGCAACAGCAATTGTTGTTGTGGGGGGTTCTTGCAAGTCAAGCGTTGGCGTTGGCTGAAAAATGGCGAAAAATGCCGGCAAACGGAGCAGACAGAGAACGTCATCAGTGCAAACAAAGCACATGACGATGAAAGAGCAGGTGGAAGGGTGAGGGGAAGAGCATAACAAACAGTAAAAGGAATAGGGCTAGAGTTAAACGCAGGCAGCGACTCGACTGCAAAGCTGCCAGTCAAAGCGTCGAGTCAGTCAGTTAGAGCAGCACATGTACACACACACACACACACACACACACACACACACACATATATAGATATACACAGAGTGAGTGCAGTCAGTTGGACAACACACAAAGCAGCTCGAAGCAGAGTAGAATGAAAGAGAGAGAGAGAGAGAGAGAGAGATGGAGGGAGAAAGAGTCGACGTCGCGTTGGCGTTGACGACAATTGCACAATTCATAATAGGCAACATGACACTAACACACACATACACACACACACACAAACAAACACACTCACACACGCACTCACTGATTGCAAGTGTTAAGTATTTAGCGTATGTCTGTGTGTGTGTTGCGTACTTAACGCAGTCAGGCCTTAGTTTTCCATCTCCTTCTCCTTCTACAAACGCATTCTCGCTTAGTCTGACTGACTGACTGACTGACTGTCTGTCATTCAGCGCAAATTCGCATTGTTTATTTTCCAACACTGGTTCTAATGTTCGCTGCTGCTGCTAATTGCAAATTGCATGCAGCAAAACGAACGAGCAGCCGTCCATAGTACGTAGAGGGGGCGTGGCGCGCCGCACGCCTTTGGCCGTAAATTACTTGGGTAATAAGCATTATGCACAGTCTGTGCGTCAGTTTGTGGCCAACATCAGTGTCAAATTAGTTTGGCGCTTTGACCTTCTTTGCAACACTCCACCTTGCCACTACCAATTTCTACTCTGGGCCAACCTTTTTTGGTCAGCGTTTGATGGTCAACATTTGATTAAAATGCCAGTTTTGTTTGGCAAACAGCAAATACGAATGCTTTATTGGGAACTGATTGACTTGCAAATATCCTGTGAGAACCGGCTGGAACCTGTTTTTATTACAGCTATTTTAGATTTTGAAATAGAAATTAATTCTAATAAATACTGTCAAAAAATGTGTAATACAAATTTCTATAATATTATTTAATGCATTTTTTTTACACTTTTTGATTACAATAAAAGAAAATTTAGTTTTATATGAAAATAATTGAATACTGGGAAATTGTTTTCTTTTGCAATTAATTCGTGAAAATATTGTAATATTTAATTTATTTTTAATTTTTAATGAGCAAATTTAAAAAAATAATTTAATGAATATAGCTGAAATTAGAGAAACTTTCATATAGCCCATATTCAATAGTTACAGCGCATAAAAGGACAACTAACTTGTCAACTTTTCATTGAAATACCTTAAGACAACAACCGACTGACTTCAGGCTTTGATGTGTTCGTTAAGAACGGCTGCGATTAACAAACTCAATGAGGCGCAAGCAAGGAAAAAGTAAAAAAGAAAAACATTAAACAATAAGCGGACAACGGGAAATAAACAGCCCAAAGAAATCAGTCAAGTGTGACTAACCCACAAAACTGAATCAAAGAGTTAATATAAGATGATAAAGGTATGGCAGCGTGTTTGTGTGTGTGTGTGTGCTTATGCGTGGGTGTGTAAGCGTGTATCTATTTGGTAATGCACATAAAGCAATTTACGCACCCTAAAAAATTATGCTATACAACTAATTAAAATGGTGGCCCGTTGCGTATACGCCACATACTTTAATGGCTGAAAATTAGTGCAGTAAACTTATCACGATACTGGGAACGCAATTACCCAAAAAACAAAGCCAACTGGGGAGTACGAGAGAGTTGGTCTGGGGGTATGGGGCGGAGGTTAACAAGTAAATTGGTTAGGGGTAATGTAGTCCTACAAGTGACCAGCCACCGTTTGGCCCAGGCATTAAAAAAGGCAATAAAAAGCTCGTAAAAGCCATACAAAAATAGCATTAAAACAGAGAAGTAATGGCAACAGGAGAAACGGCAGCAAAGGCAGAAGCAGCAACAGCAAAAGCAGCAGCAGTTACAATAACAACAACTCAAATATTAGCTTAAATGCAATAGACATTAAATTACTCGTGCCAACAACAATAAAATAGAAGGAATAAAACAGATTTTCTGCTACTAAAGCAATAAATATGGGAATGAATCGACAGCCAGTCGGTAGACTTTAACTGGATCACAGCACAACGACAGCAGCAACAACAACATCAGCGGCGACAGCAATACCAGCAACGGCAACAGCAACAACAACAACATCAACATCAAAATCAACAATGACAACAACTCGAACGTTAGCTAAATTGAGCTAAAATGACTTTTTAATTCGATTTAAGAGGAAATTTCTTTCGCTCGAATATTGCACGTGTGCCCCATAAGGAAAGTTTTTTTCTTCCTCCCCCTCACACACACACACACACCATTTTTTCTTCTTTTTCTGACCTGTCAGTAAAATATGTCAAGGCAAATTTTTCTATAACTCTGTATGTGTGTGTGTGTGTGTGTGGGAAATATGAGTAAAAATAAAAAATTATATTTTTAGCCCTGTCAAGTGTCCTCTCACAGAACGCCATGGATACGCCCAGTTTGGCTCTGCAGTTTGTTTGAGTTATTCAGCTTA